AGCCATATTACTCTTATTGATTCTGGGCCGATGATAGTCAGAATCAACCATCTTGCCATTCCCAAATCCTGCAAACAAGCAATGTAGGTGATATACACTAAATCTCTGATTGGCTAATAATTTTTGTAATCGAATTCTGACACTTACGGCCCATGCAATTAGAGACTGACCTGGTTTCACAACTGATAATGTATCATACTCCCACTCTATTCCGATTATTTTTTTGAGGTCGGTACTACAACAGTATTTTACAATATATGCGCTAACATATTTCATATCATACCCAGGACGATTATTAATAGGTTTAGGCACAATCTTATTAAACCACTCATCTAAAATAATATTAGAAGATAATCTGGACATATTTCTTGTTCACTTAAGTGGAACGAATTATAACGATTTATAGCAATTTATTGATTTATAGCGTTTTTAGCAACTTTTTAGTATCTTATACTAATGGATAACATGTTTCAAATTTGCCGGTAAGCAGTTTTAATGATTTATAGCGGTTTTATCGATTTGTAGCCAATTTAGAGAGACTAAACTCAAATTCATCTTTCGGGCTAAGCTAATCTTATATTTACATGCGTCTTCGGCTAAATCAGTTTGTGGCATGATGTACTGTATATCGTATCACATGATATCTCTACCAGTTCCCTCAATAGTTCTAGGGTTTCGATAAATCACGAGATGGTTGGCCGTAATCAGATTTCAGATTTTTTCTTTAGCCGGATAGCCTGAAAAATGATTACGAATAAAATGCACATGTTCGAGATGATCGGCTAATTTAGTCATATGGATTCTTATTCGAAATCTTATTGGTTAGAAGTGTGACATTAATGTCACAGCTAAACCAATGAAATCTGGCAAAGTTTTGGAACAGAGTTATGGGTTATGACAATTTATATGCTGAAATGAAAACCAGAAACTTTATGATTTTTGCTCTGAGAGCTGTGACATTAGTGTCACACTACTTTACAAATAAAAAATCAAAAATGGCCGTAGCCAGTCCTAAAAGGACCCTTTATTATCAAGAGTTACACAAAATACATGTAATAGATGTCCCCAATCTCATATGCGAAATAATGATTGCCGGCAAAAATATCCATACCCGAACATTGTTTTGTTAATATGATATTAGCGTGAACCAGGAAGAGACATGACGCAAAAATAAATGCAAATCAAGTTGAAAAAAAATCATGCGAATATATATATATATATGCGATTCACATGTCGCACAGCCCCTATTCTTCGGCACCGGCGACATTCTGACCAATGGTCGAACAATTTATTTCAATTTTTTTATTTGCAATATTGAAATAGATATAAGAATTCTGGATATATAACATTTCTCTATTACTAACTATATATGTTCATGCAATAATCATGCCTATATATTTGAGATTCACATATGCAGTGTATCGTAATCTCGTAACAATCTTATTAATCATTATCATCTTGAACAAAAGACATTCTTGACCCGAAAGACATTCCTGACCCGAAAGACATTCCTGATCCAGAAGAAATTCCTGATCCAGAAGAAATTCCTGATCCAGAAGGATTTCCTAATCCAGAAGGAATTCTATATGTATATCGGCTGAAGTAAATATGAACCAAGTCAATAAAATTATGCAAGTTTACTAAATGAGAGGAAAATATACCTTAAATAATCCGTCAACAACGTAGTAATCCAATAAAGATCGTGTTCTTTTTGTAGCAAGGCGCACGGTTCTGCTCCGATAGGCCACTGTATTTTCTTATTCATTGATGATGGATACTCATCCAACTTGTCCTTTCCACACCAATCGAAGTCAACGAGAACCGCCCGCTGACCATCATTTGTGTCGACAATAAGAACGTTTGGAGCGCGAAGATCTCCAAACACGAAATCCTTTTCATGTAGAAGGTCAATAGCCTTCTTCACATCTTCAATAATAGAAACGCAAGACTGAGGCTTGATCTCGTCCTTTAGGTATTTTTGGTCAAGTGGAATACCACAAATATATTCCATGATAACCATCTTAAATCCACCAAGAGCCTTTACTTCTTCATCATCACTGGAATATAGCAATTGTGGCGCGAGATTATGTTCTGCACAGATATTGTGCCCTTGAATATTATATTTGGAAGCAAATTTTACAACAATCAATTTTCCATCTGCTCTTTTAGCCTTCCAGATAGTTCTTGTATGATCATCCAACAGTCCGCATAAGTAGGTGAAGTGATGAACAATTTCTCCAATTTTATAATGTCGAATACAAGGAAAAAATCTCTGTTCGGTCTCAGTCTCCTCCTGTTTCAGATTGTGGTAAAATTCTCTGAGCTCTTTAATTGCAAGTAATAGCGAATAAAAAAGTCGAGAAATTCGTTTCACTTGATCAGAAACTCGTAAATTTATTGTGAGAGGAATGAAATCCGTCAATGGTTGAATGACTACTCTACTAAGAAAGACACCCCCGAGAATACAAAACCACGGACCAACCATACCGATAATGAAAGTTGGCACGCAACAAAAATCTCGGATTTGGTCAACCTTGGGAAGATAGGAATTATCACATGAGCACATGAGCAAATTAATTTGCACTGCATTAACCAAAGGATTAAAATATAAACGTACATTACTCTGGGACCAGTAGTCTCTATAATATATCGCTCCTTGGATTGTGGGATCATTTTTAGCCGTTCCAATCTCATTTTTCCCTTCCAATATCCCTAAGTAAGCGTTTATTAGGTTTACTTCAGTTACAATCATCCCATCACTCTTGCACTTTTGCTTTTTTTTCCCGTACTCAATTAACAACATTGTGCTAAATTTCTCTGAAAATTTCCCTCTTATAGCTTCATTACGCTCCTCCTCATCACCATAGCCATTCGTTGCTGCAAGAATAAGTTCTTCGGTCCAACTCAAAAAATCGGAAGGTATTTTTAGGTTTACATTACTAAAATCATCAAGGAATTTGCTAAAGACTTTATTGTAAAGAGTGATAGGAGGACCAGTGTTACACAATGGTCGACCGTTGAGGATTGGGTCCGTTTCTTGAGTTCTAAAGAAATTTTCAGGATTAGCTGCAACCGAGGGGCTATTCCCTTCAAGGCCACGTGCAACAGTCGTATGATACTCTGTGATGAGAGGAAAAGAGTAGTGAGAAAGCACAAAATATATTTTCGATAACATGATATCACTGAAAAGGATGAAAAAAAGTAACCTTCCAAAATCTTTCGCCGTTTTGCCGTGTCGAAATCTTCATCAGAAGGGGAGAGTGAATGAGCTCTTACGCAACCTGAAAATAATACAGCCATGAAAGAGGTATAAGGTTTACATTATTAGCAGAATGAAGCAATGAGTTTGTATAGCTGACTCGCTTACCAACAGTAGGAAGTTGCACTAGAATGTGTAGGCTTGTGTCATCTGGTTGCGTACTAAAATGATCACTAATTTTTTGTAAGTTGTTATTCATTTCCAGACCAACCCTAAATTCACCAGTTTTAAGCATCGCAACGTCATCCTCGTCTCTGGTACTTCCGAGGGGGATATCGACTCTAAACAATTTAAGATCCCTCGCCGACACGCTTTCACCAATATCATTCTTAATAGCTTTCTTAAGGGCACCAATATTCTTATTAATATCAATATCGACCGGTAAAGTTTTTTCGTAAGGATCTTCTCCAGCAACCAAGAAGTTTAGTGTTACAGAAGTCATGGCAGTTCGTTTTTATACTGGAAAAAATCGTAGTACGAATGGCTATGTAAGAAAATTGATTATCGCGAACGGTCTATATAAGAGAGGTTACCCCTACGGAGTACGGACACATCAGGAGTCAATTGTAACAATTGTAATATGATCACGTGTTAGTGCATTAAAGTAGGATCGACGCGTATTTATGTGTGTGCACGTGACGTTCCTGATGGGTTTGTAGGGGTTTTCATAAGAGATTAATGTCGTACAGATCGATGACTCATCAGTTGATCAGTTTACGCAACAGACTTCTAAAAAGTGCTAGAAACTTCGAGATCGTGCCGAGGTGATAAGCGTGAACGGTATGAGTGATGAAAAAAAGAAATACAAATGCAAGATTAGCTCTATGCTACGATTGCGAACTTGAATTTATTGCTTGAAGTGTTGCAGGTAAGACAATATTCCAACTTATCTTGAGAATAGAACTTCGCTAATTCAGGATCATAAGGGAGCCGATTCCCATTTTCGCAGTACCATGAGCCATGTAACCCATAATTCCCATGTTTTCCATCGCAAATAGGACATGGTGAGCTCCACGGCTGAAGTGATGTAAAATCATAATTATCAATCCCTCTGAGACTATTTCCGAATTTCAAGTATGGGAAGTGCTCTAAGACAGATTTGATAATTAATTCTGGATCAGGTTTGGCTTCAACAGTGATAGACCCTTTTTCTTCACATTGCTCACCGGAGGAGGGAAAAGATAAATTGGATACTTTGTTTTCTGGCTTTGAATTTATGAGGCGATCTTCTGATAATTGCCATGGCTCATACCCAGTTTCTTTTTTATATTTTTTGTATAAGCTGGACCGAATCCTATCTGTCAAAACACTTGGTAACCCAGTTAATTTGGCATGCCAATCCAGGTATTCAGGAGTTAATATTTTATTGGATTTGCTCATGTTTCCTTTTTTCTATGATCACAGATCAATTTAAATTCCCGGATAGAAAGCTGTCTAATATTTCTTATCATATTTCCAAAAAAAATAATTAGAGGCGGGATCATCTTTCGAAGTATCTATGATGTAAGAAAGGGTCAAAGGGGTAATGAGACTATGCAGTTAACTCAATTTCGCGCTGTTCACATTTAATAAAATAAGATCCGGATTTATACCTACCTTCTATGCTTTCCTCATCATCATGATCTAAACTGCATAACGGGCATGATGTCTCGCCAGTAATGCCATAATAATCGAAATTTTCACTACTAAATTCCCTACATAAATTAGGATATTGATCCAATGTCTTGTTTCTAAAATAGGATCGGTCATAAGTTGGCTTAGATTGGGATGTAGATAATACATTTGCCGATGTACTTACTCCCAAGGGATCCGCTTGTATCTCAGTCTTATTGGTTTTCAAAGTCACGTGTCTGTTCCAATTTGGAACGGAGTCTTCATCATCTGTATTAGTAGCTTTTTTGGGGAAATCATCTATAATGTCCTGGATCTGATTATCATATAAATTCGAGATGGCACTTGCGCTACAGCTAATTATTTGGATTCTATTTATTCCTATCCCATCAAACAATATATAGATTTTTTTAGCTCTGAAAGTTATTTTACGCAAGTTTACATCAGTAATGTCAGGAAGAAGGGGTTTGATTTCGCTGTACACCAATGTTCTTGCTGATTTGTCATCAACACCATTCTTAGACTTAACATCCCTGACTCGATCCTCATATGCTTTATAGTAACAATACCAGCATAAAATCTCCTTACGTCTAAGCTTCATTGCTACTCTAAATAGATCAACTATATTCTGTGCCGTAACTTCACTAGATCCTATCAGAATTGCTTCTAAAGAGAGTTCAGGAATCTGAATATCAAACGCCTTATTAATCTTACCATCACCAACTTCAGTGGAGGATAGCTCCCGCCTCAAATCTTGCTCCACTTTTTGATTATAAGGAATTTTTTGACACTCTGTCTCTGTGTTCTCAGAAGCCAGAACCTGTTTGTCCGCCATAGGTGATTTTACTGGCGATGTCCCAGCAGATGATTTGTTACTAGAGGTAACTGACTTACAGGCTGGAATCGATTCTTTGACTACCTGTTCTGGAAGAGTTACAAGTTCAGCACTAGTCATGGAGGGGTCCTCCTCACAGTGAGTCATGTCTGAAGTAACGGAGGATGAGTCTTTGGCATCCATCTCCTTTTCCTCCGATGTCTTGGCATCATCATTATTTCGCTGGTCTGTCACAGAGCTGGATAAATCAACATCTGATACGGTTTGCTCTACAAACCTCTTTGATATTGCTTCTTTATGTAGCTGATCATCCACTACCAAGGAACCCTGTTCCACTATCGCGAGTCTGGCCTCAAGCTCCGTATTTTTTTGCTCTAATTCCTCAACTCTAGCATCACGCCTGGCATTTTCCTCAATAATCTGCTTCAGCTTCGCATTCTCAGCCTCAACCTCTGCAAACTTCTTCCTGAGTTCGGAAATCTCAACTAAGAGCCTAGCATTTACCTCTCTTAATGAATCAATAGATTGTGCGTTTGACATGATTGATAACACTTGTTTAGTACACTAAATATTCAAATTAAATAATAAAAGATCACGTGTCCGTTCCAATTTGGAACGCAGGTCACTTTTGCCAAGAAAAAATTTTTTATTAATACATGCGAAAAATAAATACAAAGGATCGGGACTTTGCCCGTACATGACTCTATTGCTAATATACAAGAAAATTATTCCTTAATAAATTTTTTTGTCCTTGCTCTCTTACTATCCGGAGAATCATCAACTTCGACCCTATCCTTCAACAAGCCAACGATTACCCCCATAACCTTTTTAACACCACGGCGAAGTTCCGCATCATCTTTCATTATTTTCTCGTTAAGTGCTATGTGATAGTCGTCTTTCGAGCAATAGATCCTTTCCGGTATGTACATGAGGAAGTACCAGTCAGAGGCTAAACAAAAAAGGCACAAGTTAGTATATACGAATGATGGATAAAAAAATCACACAAAGGACTGAAAATCTCTACCCGTAGTCACGATCCCATAGAGATAGTCAAACTCATCATCGAATGCCACGGATGCTTTCCTTTTTCTCGTGTTTGTATGGTGAGAGCTTTCGAGTTGCATTATGTTCTGCATGAATCCCGCCACCAAATCCTTTTGTTTTCCCTCGGTTATGGCTATCAACTCCTCATTGATGACATCTATGACTTTCTTGATTTCGTAATCGACTCGGCCAGATGCTTCTTCGCCTACGACTTCGAACTGGGGGTCCATGGTAATTCCTTTCTTAGTGATTCTTTTGGCGATATAGATGGATGCATATAATATTGGGGAAATATACTCGCAACGCACAGCCTCATTCCTACCAGTTGCAGAACCTATAATTCCCATCCTACGTTTTATCTCTGTTATACACTGCTCCAGCTCCTCGTCTTCATCGTCAATTTCCACAGGCTCTGGCTCAAAGGGCGGAATTTTTGTTATTTCATTGCTATCGATCCCATACTTGCGCAACACCTCACTCAACTCTTTCTTAGTCTTGTACGAGGAGAACGACCTCAACTTTTTCTCCTTGCACTCCTTAGCGAACTTCACGAGGGTCATAGAAGGTCCTCCTTTCATGCCATATTCTTGAAAATCTTGCTTGGTCATGTCAAGGAAGTTCGAACCATTAATCTCTTCCTCTTCTAAAATTTTGATAGCCGTCTCACTAAGACCTAAGCCCTGTCCCTGCAAAAATTCTATAAGCTTGGCCGTGTCATATTTTTTAATTTCGTCAGCCAGCGAGACCGTCTCATTTCCAGCAACAGAGATAGAAGTGGAAGCTGGAGTATAAGGTGTACTGGTTTCAGAAGACATAGTGTTACGTTTTTATAGGGATATTTGGCTCGGACAAAAAAATAGTGTTACTTTCCGGAGTAAGATAAAAATTTATTTCTGTTCGGAAAAGAAAATACTGGGCGTTAATATAGGTTTTTATGTAGCACAGGCATTGCATCATCGCACGTGACCCTTTCTCATATACGTTCGATAAAATAATACTTTATTTATGAAATAAAATAGTTGCCGATAGCCGGCCTACATTACATAAAAAATGAGACTATACTTCATGGCTCAGGCCTATCGCTAATGAAATATAGATAAAAAAATCTAATTATCTTTGCTTAGTACCTCCGGCACCCTTTCAGCGGGAGGGTACACGATAACATTGATTCCATTTTCACCACCAAAGATACGTTGGGGTTGTATAGGAAAATGAGTAAAAATGGTGTCTTGCGGTTCCATTCTTATTGCACCTTCTACTTCAAATTCACTGATGTTTCTTAAGCTGTTGATTATGACACTATCAGCTATAAATGCGACCCTATATAAAGCCAAATTGGTCGAATCTATATCTTGAAATCGATCTAGACGACGGGTTCTGATTGCCTCCGCGAGAGAAGAGACTCTATTGTTGTTAGCGTTAGATATCGTTACTTCGAAAATATCGTTCACTCCCTCGTCAGAAATGAGACAGTTGAGAGTAATATCCCCACCAGCGAGAAACTTGTCAAGCTTGTCAGGAGTCTTGGTCTTATCAGATTCCTTGGTCTTATCGGACATCTTGCTTTCCTAAATACAAGGTCCATAGTGAGAAAACTCGCTCCCATACATACATAACTTCTAGCATATACATACCTTATTTTGCGTTATTTTACGGGAATGTTTTTTGCGGAAAGTTGGCTGAACTTCCACATACCTCTACATGCTTTATATCTTGCTGGGAAAAAAGAGCGCCAAGCCGAAGTTAAGGAGATAAGAATAGTGATTAGCATTGTCGTATGATGCCAAGAGTTCTATGAAGGCACATGTAAATTGAATTTTCATACCTTTTCACATGTAGATCTACCGGAAAGACATAGTTGGTTTTACGCCTGGCGATCTCGAAATTCCAAAGTCCTCAGCCTTTCATAACATATGCTTTTGCTGTCAGTATTTACTTTTACGGTAGGCAACTAGACCTCCCTTCACATTTTCTCACATTTGTTTGGGGAAAAAATATAGGTACTGGTTAGTATGTTTTCTTTTTCGAATATATATGCAAAAAAAAATAATGTTTCACAGACTGACCGTGTGATCGGCCATTACATCATTGCATAGAAATCTATGGCTTAGCAAAATCTTCTTTCGAACGAAGTGATCCGGGTTGATGATCAGTATTCCGGACTTGGCCCTTAAGGCGCTTCTCTAAATTTTCTGCATTAAATATATTACTTTATTATAGCAATCATGGCAAATAATAATCCCGAAACGCTTGCTCAGTTTTATGGACTGTTTTTATATAAGAAGAAGGATATAATAGCTATTCAGGAGAAACTCGCTATTGGCCCTGGCAATGCAAATGAATTAGTAGTGCCTCCAGATTCCGAGCTCATGGGGAAAATACTTGCCGATTCTTACAAGCTGTTGTTAGAATTGGTAGGGGATTTAATTCCGATACAGGAGAAACTCAACATTGATGGTAATCCTGTTCTAGAAGTGGAACTTAGAAGGGATAAAGCCTCTTCGGATAAACCAATTAGATTATTTGATTTGCTTTTATACCTGGAAGAGGACATAATAGCAATTCAGAATGAACTCGGTATTATTGGTTATTCTAATCAAGAAAGGGCAGAAGAAATTGATGAGAATGTAAGAGCACAACCCCAAAAGCTTGAGGAATTTCACGGTCCCTTAGAAGATGATCCAGGTGTGATATTACCGAAATATGGTGAAATGTGGGTAAAGAAAATTATGTTTACTGGAGAGGGGCTTCCATTATTTCCGAAGCTCTCTCCTCAGCAATTGCACGAAATATTCGTCAAAAATTCAGCTAACACCGATCAGTGCCCATGTCTAGAACAGGTAAGCTAATCTATATTTTTTGTCGCACAATCTGACCGAAGGCGCTGTGCATGGCCCAGCAAATTCTTCTGAGCTGAAGATCACCGCTCCGGATTAGTAAGATCAGTAGAGTTTCACCATTCTGCTTGATCGTCGAGTAATGCTACCGAATAATTCCTTGGCGCTTGTCTGATTATAGCTATAGTGGAGTGATCGGCACCAGAG